AAATCATGATCGGCGAATGATTTCATTCACTAATTCACTAATGTCTAGTGTCTACTAGACATTTGCTTAACCAAAATATTTTATTATCATTTATCAAGTTTGTCAATTAGAATTTTCAATAGGCATTCATTCTTTAGGGGAATTTGGCCAATTTCTTCGAAAAAATCAAACGCCTCGCCGATTGGGATATTGCCTTTAATATTGTAATTTATGTTTATCATAACATTTTATGATTACCTAATCAATCAAAAATTGAAAAAACAAAAATATTATAGATTTAAAGCTCATAGGACATTCTAAAAATTTTAAAATTTTTGTAGATTTTGTTTTTTAAATTTATAAATGTAAATAAATTAAAATTTAAATTTTCTTTATTTTTAAGCTGCTTAATTTATGTAAGATTTTTAATGTGTGATGAATATTTTTTTTTTGTCATATTTTGCGTTAATTTTCTACTCTTAATTTAAATGTTAAGTTTAAAATTTCATGTTTTCACTTACTGCTTTTTTTTTTTATTTTACTTTTGCATTATAAATAAAATGAAAGGGAATTAATTAATAATTTTATTTTAAATAGTTGCGTATATTTGTTAATAACAAAAAATCGCGTTATAAATGAAATTGAAATTTATAATTTTTTCTGTAAGAAACTGATCACGTTTTTTCATATCAAACAAGGGGGTATTAAAAGCAACCCATATTGTTTTGTGTTTTTACTGTGAAAATTGTTATGATTAGGTGAGGGGTAAGAAAGCAACAGAAATTGATTTGTGCAACATGTGAACAGTCTCACTAAATATTTTGATAAAAAAGGAAGCGAAAAACTTGTATATTAGGCGCGTTTATAATAAACTATTAAAATTATAATTAATAAACTAATAAAAGAAAATCTAAATATTTGATGTTTAAACTACACAAAATATTAAAAAAAAATTTGGAACAATGAAAGAAATAAATTTTGTATTTATGAATATATATTATCAATATATAACAAACATACATATATCTATATTGAAGAGAAAAATATAATTTATATTATATAAATACGGGATTTATTGAAAAAAAAAATTAATTTTATCTATTATATATTTGTATACAAAAAGAGAAAAAAATAAATAAATAAAATGCATGTTAAAAAATATAAAATTCATATTATTATTATATGTACATATTTATATCAAAAAATATTTTATTAATATATTTCTGTTAATTATAAGGTTAAATGAGATATAAAATTAAAAAAAAAAGATGTATATATAAAAATATATTTATTTATATATTTTAAATACAAGTATATTAAATGTATATAATATATATATATATTTACATTATATGAATGCTTATGTAATATTTATGTGTACATAATGTTTGTATATGAAATGAAAAAGAAAAAACAAAAAAAAAAAAACAAAAATTGATAAATTTTATTTTATAAGAAAAGAGTTTTGAATAAACATTAAAAAAAAAAAGAGGATGAGAGAAAAAGCTAAAAGAATTTTTTATTTAAAATTAATTATTTCAGGCTACCCTTTTAATTTACGAATTTGAGCCACATAGTACCAAATAGAAGAAAAGAAGTCAAAAGTAAAATTGAAAGTAAAATTGAATTTTTCAATTTATTTATTTTTGAACACCTTTTATTTTAAGGACCTTGTTTTATTTGAATCGCTTTTGGTGATAAGTACAAATTAAACTTATCTATATTATGATTCAATTTGAATTCTAAGATTTTGGCAGAGGGCTGGGGAACTTATATATAAAACATTGAAATTATTATTCTATAAATTAATTTTTGAACCAATCTCATATTTAGAAGTCTTCTATCCTGCTATATTACAGATCTATAATGCTGTAAGAATGGCAATTTAACATTTATATTCTTTTATATACTGGAGCTTATTCCAAAAGTCATATCACTTAGTAATAATGTTAACTTATTCTAACAATCTCAAAAACTGTCCCTGTTCTTTTTACATTGCAATAAAAAAAATTCATATCTTACGAATAACACAATTATTACTACATAAAAATTAGTACTCAATCTCACTAATTTATATGACAGTCGAGTAATCTTCTTCTTCTTCTTCTTTATTTAGAGCCTTGCTCTGTTAATTTACAAAAGCGTTGAACATAATATATAACATTAGTACAGAATATAAATACATGTATACTGCATACATTATATATATACATAAATTTATTTGATACAATATAATATATTTGTTTCTTTTTTTTTTTTTTTTTGTTAATGATAATGAAGTCCAGCATTCCTGCCATCTCTTCGGTGGTCTTCCTGGAAGTCTACACGAACTGGGTTTCCCCATGAATGCTCTTTTAACCACCCTGTCTGGCGACATCCTTTGTACATGCTGATTCCATTATTTTCTTCTTCTTCTACTCCATTTGACAATATCCTGAATTTCGCAAATTTCTCTTACTTCATCGTTGCGTTTATGATCGTATCTGGTGTAACCTGTTATGGATCTTAATGTAGCCATTTCCGCTGCGCTCATAATATTTTCGGTCTTTTTTGTGTCTGCCCTGCTTTCTATTGCATAAGTGATTATAGGTCTTATGCATGTCTTATATATGCGGGTTTTGCTTCTAATATTCATGTGCTTATTTTTCCAGATAACATCTTTTAAATAACCTGAAATCGATGATGCTTTAGTTGCTTGTGTTTTAACTTCTTTGGTTAGATCACGTGATGATGTTATAAGTGCTCCTAAGTATTTAAATTCCATCACTTGTTCGATGCTTTTTTCGTATACTGCAAGCTTACATCGCAGAGGGTTTTTGGATATTACCATGTTTTTAGTTTTTTCTACTGATATCTCCATATTAAATTCCTCCGCGGCTTTCTCAAATGCATAAACCAATCTTTGCAGGTTATCCTCGCTATCTGATATCAGAACGGCATCGTCAGCAAAGCATACACATTTTATTTCATTGTCCCCTATTTTGTATCCGCGGCCAGCACATTTCACCTTTTTTATTATTTCGTCCATTATAACATTAAACAAAATAGGACTAAGGCTGTCTCCTTGTCGAATACCCGTATTTATTGGAACCTCAGCGGAAGTGCCATTGTTCGTTTTTATGAACGTGCTGTTATTAGTATTAAGATCTTTTATTAGTGCTATGATGTTTTTATTGACGTTTCTTTTATTAAGCAGCACCAGTACATCCTTAAGGCAGACTCTATCAAATGCTTTTTTAAGATCTACAAAACAAAAAAAGGCTGGGGAGTTGTATTCTATAGCTTTTTCTGTTATTTGTCTTAAAATAAATATCGCGTCTGTTGTAGATCTGTTGGTTCTAAATCCTTACTGTTCTTCACTTATACCTGTATTTGCTATTTCAACTGCAACAATTTTTGTAAGAAGTTTCGACATGGCACTTAGCAACGAAATTCCTCTGTAGTTTTCTGGTACTTTCTTACTGCCTTTTTTGAATATAGGAATGGTAATACTTTTTTTCCACTCGACTGGTACCTTCATGTCTGAAACAATTTTTGCAAATAGATGGGTTATTTCATCCCAGAGTTTTTGACCACCATACTTCAGCATTTCGTTGGTTATCTCATCAATACCTGCTGCCTTTCGATTTTTCAATTTTTTTATATTCGCTTCAACCGTAGCAGACGATATAGAATAAACTGATTCGTTTTGATTGGATTCATAATCATTTCTATCACTGCTTATATTGTTTCGTGTAGGTTGATTGCCAAGCAAGTCTCGAAAGTATTTTTCCCACTCTAATGCTGAGATTTTTTCCATCGTCAAATATTCGTTAATTGGCTTCTTCCTATTCCTCAACATATTCCACACTTTTTTCTGTGCACCATATAAATCATGTTCCATATCTGTTGAGAATCTTTGCCAATAATCCTTTTTGATGTTTGATATTGCCATGTCGAGTAATCCAACTTTAGAAATAAAATGACAAAAGTCACATAACATTCAAGTGAATTTTTTAATCATACGTAGCACGTATCATCATTATTTTTATCACTTACATTTTAGTGAATTTGTCATTCACCTTGGATGTCATCATTAACTGTAAAAAAATGGTTGTCATTGTGCATTGTAATTTTATGTGAAAAAAAAAATCGCTGTTATCATTTGAAAAAAAAGAAGATGAAGCTGTTTATCACTCATTCATTTTCTCTTTGGTGGAAGGTAGCTTTTTTGTGTTTCAATAATTTTTTCCTTTAATTCACTTTTTTATCAGAATAATGGTACGTGCCTTACATTTTAAAGAACCGCCGGAATCTCTGGTAAATTAATCAATTTAATTCGGGATCTATATTATTTTTGAATTTTAATAAGTATTGTTTATGAATGTTAAAAAAAATCTATCTATTATATATGATGTGAAAGCGAAATTCGTGTCACAAAGCACGAACTTAATTTCTGTTCAATTCAAAGAACTTATCTTATATTGGAGTAAACTTCGATAGATAAAAATATTTATTTTACTATAACATTAAAATATTATTATGCGGCCTAGGCTATATTATTAAAAATTAAAATAAATGTTTGAAATTTAACGAAAATAAATTTTTTAAAAATTCTTTAAATTATTTTGCTATTTAAAATGAGTAGTTTCCGAAACCATACTAGTATGCAATTAAAATACTAAAGATATTTTTTTTATTAAAGTTTTTATTAGACAAATATATATAACAATAATTATATTATAGACTATTTTAATTATTATTATTATAAGCAATTGAGAAAATGCCTTTTTGTTTGTAAAAATTTAAAATATATACTTTAATTCTGTTTAAGAATTTTTTTCTGCCATAATTACAAGTCATACAATTATGCTTTTAAAACATTAGACGACTAATTTTACAATAATTTAAAGATTTCGAAGCATTAAAAAACAAGTATGTATTCTCTTAAAACATAATCATTTTTAACATTATTTAATAGTTATAGAAATAAAAAAAATCAATTTACATATTTTAAAATATTTTATGCGTATTTTATATGAAAATAAAAAAAAAAGTTTTAATCTTAATCACCACCTTCATGCGGTAGCAAATCATACCAATTTGAGAATCCTTGAGATGAGATTTCTGGATCACTGAGAGCAATTTTCAACTAAAATGAAACGAAAAAACGAATTTTTGTTACATTTTTTTCTTACAAAAGACGAACAATAATTACCATTCCAATGATTGGACTGCCACCAGATAAAAATCCTTTTTGTGTACAAACAGTTACTTCAAGTTCACTATTCATTAATTCAGCAATTGAAATTAAATATTCAAAACTACTATCATATACTGGATTACAATTATCTTTAATTGTTGCTGTTTTTCTTTTTGATTCCTTTGTTCTTCCAGGAAGTAAATATAATTTTACATATGGATCTGGTATATTTGATGGATCTTTTAATGGTATATTCATTATTTTATGAACGGTAACAGTTAATTTTTGTCGTTGTATATGATAACGTAATGACAACTGAATTCTTCCCAAACCATATTCACCAGCTGAACTTGTTATATCTGGTACACGATGATGTAATGATGATTGACTAGATTTTGTGCTACCAGATGGCGATGAAGAAAGTTTTGTTACTTTTGCTGATGTAAAATCTTCTTCTGGTATAACACTATCCGAAATCACGGATGGTGGAGTGTCCTTCATTAAAAAAAAATAACATAATCAATAAATTGAAAATATTAACAAAAAAAATTAATTCCTAAATAAGTAAATCTGAAATTTACCTTAGTCTTTGCAACAGAAGATGTTTCCAATGGTTGTTGAGGTGCTTTTACTGAACCACCTCTAGATAAAGTTGAATCTGATCTTGACATTTGTGATGATGATCTTTGTAATAAACTATGAACATCTGCAACTGGTTCACCTTCTAATGGATCAGCTCTTTTTAATATTCTTAAAGATAATGTCATAATAATTTTTGATTCTGGTCCAGATTTTTGTAATTGGAAAGGTTGTTGTAAAAATTCCATATTTTTACGTTGTAATAAAGCGCTCAAAATATATGTATAGCGACCGATTTCTTTTTCAGTTTTTTGATCTGTGATTTTCAATTGTAATGTATCATTATCAGGATTGCCAACTAAAAATGAGTATCCTTGTTCCCAAACTGGTGCATCTGTACGTAATTGAACGGCAGTTTGTTCAATATGTTTACCAACACTAATTGTTAAATATGGATCTGGTTGAGACTGTGGACGTGCTTGCTAAAATATTAACAAAAAATGAATTAAAACTTGTTCTAATGTTGTATACTATATTTGTTCAGTATTAGTATCATAGGATGCCAAGATTTTCTAAATGGTATTTCTAAATAGAAAGAAGATCTATCTTACACACAATCGAAATTATCTTGCTCATGAATGCAAAAAATTACAAAAATAAGTCGAAATACACTTTTATCCCGACAAAATATTAAATTGTGAATTTCATTTAAGTCTTTCTGATGCATACTTCTACTTATATGCAATGCACGGCTATATGTATATAGCTGTGCAATTAAAAAGCGAACATATTATATGCTATTATTATGTTATAGACATATACACGTTAATATATTTACTTACAGGTAGATTTTTGGCTGAATCAATATATACACACAATATTGCTGTACTCATTGATGTTACACGTAATAGTTGTGTTTCTTCAAGAGCTGCTTGTAAATCAGCTGTATTAGATGATAATTTGTACCATGTGAGACGGACATGTAGCAAACCATGTTTAGCATCTTCAAGTGTTAACCACTATAATTGTAATAAAATCGAAATAATTAAAATAAATTTGAGAAAATTTAATAAAATTTAAACTTACGGTATCAAGTACACCTTTTTTAACTACATTGCTTATTTCAACTGTTGCCCTGCATTTTTTTAATTAAAATTTTAAAAAATAAGTAAAAAAAAAAGTTTATATTAAAGTTTTTTTTATAAAAATTCTTTAAATTTTGAAATTAAAGCGTAAAACTTTCAATAACTCATAACACTTTTTTTTTTCAAAGGCTAAATGCAATATTTGTTTTGGTAGATAACTGAAAAAAAGACGGCAATTCTAATCAATTGAATGAGTGTGCATTCCAAATTTTTCTAATGCAAAATTTGAAAATTTTTAACTTTTATTTTTAACAATACACATAGGTACATACAAATTTCTTGATAAATTTAATATTTATGCAGTGACAACCATTGCAAATTTTAAATAACATAGAAAGGGGGGATTTTGAAATGGGAATTGAATAATTCATGCTAAAGTTACTTTAATTTATATATAGAAAGGAACAGAAAATTTATTTAGAGATAGAAATTTAAAAAAAGAGGAAGTTATCCAAATTCATTCATGAGTTTAATTTATGTCTAAATAATTTATAAAACATAAGAAATAGATTATAAATAAATTACTTTATAGAGCTAAAAATGTAGTTCAAAATATATTTGCGATAAAAATATAAAATTCAAATGAAAATAGAGAAATAGTGTCGTCAAATATGGTCATGAAATCTCAATTCTTGCAAATATTTACGAGATTTTTAATGCTGCAAGCAACGCTACTTTCCTGTATTTTTAATTAATCGTTTTGATAATTTAATCGTTTAGCAACTGTACTAATAATTGATTGATATCATGTCAGTAAAACTCTCATGAGAGTAATGTAAAAAATAAATAATTGGCCATTTTTCAAGAAAATACACTGAAATTTTCATTCACGTAATGTGAAAATTGTAAACAATAAATTGTAGCACAAATTTTCAGAGATGTTGAAATGAGCACCATAATCTTGCATATTTTCAGGGGATGGTGCTAGTAATTGAAAAATTTGGTTCAAGATTTTTATAAAAAATGAATATATTAATAAATTGAATTAGATAGGCGCATTTTTCTAGTTTTAAATTTTTCAAATTCAAAAAAATTTTACAAATTTCGAAATCATTTGCTTTGAATATTTTCTTCTTATATGCTTAAATAACATTGTTCATCTTGCTTTTATATAAATTAAAAAAAAAAAACAGAAGACAAAATTAAAACCAACAATTAAAAATTATAAAAAAAAAAACAAGTCCAACAAAATTCTTAATACTGACAAATTCAAAATTTTAATTACAAAATTTTAGTTTATGAGTACGAAATGGTACAAATTTTAGTACACTTTCAAGTTAGAATAAAATATTAGCCCTTATTATGAAAAAAATTATAAATCGTACGATACACTATATTTCTGATAGTTATTGTAGTGCTAGTATGTATTTATCGGCATTGTATCGGACTATTTATCGCATATAAACTAGCGTTTATCGTATTATGAAAAATTTATTTTAGCGATTTTCCGATAGATTTTATCGGGTATTTTTTAGTATACGGACAGCACACAATAGTGATTTTACAAGTATTTCACTATTATTAACAAAATTGAGGACTATAAGTTAAGATAAATTTAATTTTGTATTTTTAGGAACAGAATTGTCAGTAATAAATATCAATTAAATAGGATAACTGAAATAATGGAGGAGAATTTAGATAGTGCAAGAAATGTTTGTTCAAAACTTGTGCCGATAAATTTTGAATCAAAATTTCTGATAAATTAAACAGTACAGGACCTTTTACAGAAGATCTCTAATTTTTTTTTCTACCTCTAATCTTTGTTCTAATGATTCTTACTTCTTGATGTAGTTCTTCCTCTTCGTCTTCAAAAAAACAAAATTCAGCTGATAGCATTGTATAATTATTTTATTTTATTTAAAACAAAATTTATCTGTCGCAAACTTTTTCTTTATTTTCAAATTTTCCATATGAGTGTATCATATGAATTTAAAATCTTTGAATCTGTCAAACAAAATAGTACACATCAATAAAGATTTTTTAATACTACTATTTTATTGCTTTCGCATATCGTGTATCGATTTTTTTCATAATAAGGACCATTGTAAAATTTACGTAGAATGTTCGTTTAGTAATAAGTTCCAGTATAATATCGTCTGGTAATGGTATATTTAAATTATTTAATTTTATAATTATTTTTTTAACAAAAAAAATCTATTACTTAATAACAGAAGAAACACTAGATTTTCAGCGCAAATATGATAAATTCTGGTTTTCATGTTAAAAATTCATTAAAACTGTAAATTTTCTCAAGTATAGCTATCATGATTCTATTACAGTAATCAGAAATATTTATTATTTTTAGGTTTTCATAGAATAATTGCAAATCTTATCCTGATTTCTAAATTTTTGGTGAATATTAACAAGATATTACGAGTGTATACAAATCTATAAAGTGTGTGCAAAATATATTTTTCAAATTGAAGATTTTAAAAACATCAATAGTATGTTTTTAACAATCAGATATGCATTTCTAAGGCTCAACAATGAATCTTGTGCACTTATATTAATTTCTTATGTATTTACAATATAAAAAATTCCGAATTTTAAATTATAAGTTTGTAAAAATTTTATAAAAATTAAAAACACATTAACCATCAAAATTGAAAAATTAAATTTTAATAACGATAAATAATTTCTTTTTTTGGAAAAATATCAACTTTCAAAAATCAAAGTGAAAAACTTAAAATTTCAAATTTACATTAAACAAAAATAAAAAATTAAAACGATAATATCTCTAAAATCTAACAATTTATTAATTGCGACTATAAACAAACAGTGTATTTACAAGTGCAGCTCCTATATTTTCAGTTTGCGGGAAAATTTTATTTTAAAAAATAAAGTGAGAACTAAAATTAAAATTTTATTTTTAATTTTAGTTCTCACTTTGGTTCAATTTGAGGGAAGATTGAATTTGTTCAAAGTTTATTTCCATATTTTTTTGTAACTATTTGATACGAACAGTAATTATGAAGTGTCTTTCAATTAAACTAAATTCAACAGCCCTATCATGAATTTCGTTTCGTCTTTTGAACAAATATTTTGTATGAAAATTGTTTACTGAAACAGCAACCAAAAAATGTAAATAAACATTGGATAGTTGAAATAAAATACTAATTTTGACACTCCGAAAAATGGTACTGCCACTCGTGATTCATAATCTCTACGAAAAGAATTAGTAATCATTCAAAGGTCTACATCGTAGTATGTTCGTAATTCGTAAATTTACGAGTGGAATTCGTGATAGAGCTGTAAATGATAAAAGTATAAAATTAATATATTCTTTCCCTAGTAAACAATTAAATTTACAGTTACTTCCTATCACTACACGAATTTAATTTTTTAAAGTTGCTGTTTTATTTAAAGTGAACTTAAATTTAATAATGTGAGAAAAAAAAATTATTTCACCGCTAATAATTTATTTCTAAAAAAATCTAATTATAATGTGGTAATACTTTAAAATAAGCACAGTTCACATAATATTCCAAATATTTAGCACAGCACTCACAATCAAATTAAATAATTTTTGAATTTATGTAGTAGTACAACACAAAATATTTGTGTAAATTAAAAAATTTCAACAACATTTTGTATTTTGATTTAAAAATTTTGGAAATCAAAAATATTTGGACATTAATAATGAATTTTATCTATAATAATTTTCCTGATATTTTGATCATAAATTCTAAATTTAAAACCCATAAAATTTATACACACATTAAACCATGCTTTATCACAAGAAATTATTTGCTTTAAAATCTATGAATTTGAATTGAACAAAACAATTTTTAAATTAAATTAAAAAAAAAAACATTTAAAATTTTGGTTCTTGTTTTTTTGAAACATTTATGATGTTTATTATAAATGTAATTTTTCAGACCTGCCAAGAGATTCATCATCACCGGTACGGTCCCAATCGTATAAACGGAATAATGCGATAGTACGATGTGACATTTCAACAATTGCCTGTAAAGCATTAGTAGAAAAAAGCTAATTTTTCTTTTGTTTTTTTAACAAAATTACAAAAACAAAAAAAAGGATATTTATGTATGTTTAATTAAGTATTCAGGCAAAATTTCAAATTATTTTTTTTATAATAATTCGAATTAAAATTTGTTAATGTTAATGTTAATTTAGTTAGTAAAAATGTTAAAATATGAAAAATATATAAGAGTGAATGATATTGAGAATAGCTCTCTTCCAAAACAATTATTAACAGAACAGAATACAATTACGAATTAAAATAAAAATTTTATTCAAATCTTAAGTGTGTCTATAATTTGAATTAAAGAAATTGACAATAAAGAAGTGTGAATTGTCATGTCTTTCTTTTTTGACATTAAATTTTTTAAGAGATAGATTTTTTATTCATAATGACAGCAATTCTAATAATAGAGCATTATAATAAATGATGTCATTGCATCAGTGACACTATGGAATACACTGACATATTGTGTCATAATGTGAAAATTGATATAATAGGCACAAATAAATATAAATGTGTGTATAGCCGTGTATTCATGTGCAATACAACATAATTCATACCATTTCAGAAAAGAGCTTATTCTAAAACACCTTGTTAAAGATGGTTATACAATAAATAAGCATAAGGTAAAAGTAGATGTTAATTAATGGTAATTTTACTTGTTTTACATAATTATAGAAAAAAATCATTTGTTTTAAACTGAATTAAAGTCGATTTTTATATGATTTGTTTATAAAATAAATAAACTGTTATATAGTATATTCGTGATGTTTTGAGTTTATTTGACAACTTCGTGTAAGCTATTAATGTTATCATTTCATAGAAAATAGTTAAAAAATGTCTCATTTTATATATTTTAGTTTTTAATATGTAGTCAGTTAGAAAAACAATTATAAATAATAATTTAGCAACAATAATATAACAGATATAAGAAAAAAAACAGAAAACAATAGGCTTAAGAAATTAAAAAAAAAATATGAAAAAATGTAAAAAAACAATTCATTTAAAATCTTTTAATTCAAAAAACAAAAAAAAAAGAACAGAAAAAACAATCATAACAACAACGCCACCTTCCCAAGAAGTCATCATTCATAACACCTGGGAATCCTTGATCATAATCCCATAAAGTAAATAAAATTTCTTGACCTAAGCTTGCGTTGACCAATGCCTAATTTTACAAATTGAATAAAATAATATACAATTTTTTTTATTAAATTAAAAAAAAATAAAAATTAAATGTACAACCAAATGTGTTAGAATTGTGTTTTGTGGTGAAAATTTGTTAATTAATATGTTTGGGTATGTATTATCTACATATATATATATATATATATATATATATATGTATATATATTAGCGTTATTTGCACATTTCAATTAAGCTACGTACATATTATTTTATTTATGATTATACAATTATGTTATTAATTTTTAATATTGAGAACAGAAAAATTATGTAAAATAAACACTTTTTGCATTATTTTGGCCGCTTCTACTAATAAAATCATAATCATGTCATACTAGTCATAAAGATCATAACGATCAAATCGTTATCAAAATTGTAAATTGCATTATATAAAAAGGAATACTAAGAAGGAATACTGTAAAAAGAAATTTATTTTCTGATTGAGTAAGGGCTCAATTATGAAAGTCAATTTAAAATCGACTTTATTCGCCAAATATTTAAACAACCAATGCTATTATGAATTTCTACCTCAATAGCATTTAAAAATTCACGTTTTGACCGTGTATCTCGGTTTTCCATTTCACTTTTTGTTCAGTTTTAAATCAGAATATTTGTTTTGTCTAATGGATATTTCAATTTTCCAATAAGAAAATTTTCCAAAATACTAATTTTTTCAATTGGATTTTTACATTTTTTCTGAAATTAACGAATGTACCTTCAAAAATAAACAGCATACATAATAATTAAATTTTGCACACATTTAGAAAAGCCGAGTTACGTAATAAATATGTCGAAAATTCATAATACAATTATGTGCATATATGATTTATCTTCTTCTGACTTGAGGAATAAAATAGCGAAATACACAATCACGCGTTTAATATTAAATAAAAAATATTGAGCAAATCTTTTGAGTAAAATTGCCTCCCATAACCTTTTAAATCGATTATTTTTTTAGATCCTTAAATATATATTACATTTAAACATTTGCTAATTTAACATTTAATTTAATAACTTTAAACTTTTTAATTTTCTTAATCCTTATTTATGCACTATAATTTTTCAGAGTTATACCAAATTAATTTTTTACAATTTAATTTGAGTTTCATAACTTTTCTTTCTCATTAATTATTGTTAATATTTTTTTTATGTAAAAATTAAGATTTTAAGAAAATTGCATTTTATAGAAAGATTTAAGAATTGAAAACTATTGGCACAAAAAATATCGAAATATATTTTTGCGGGAATTGAAAATATTATAGTAAGTGAATTTAAATTCGAAATATCGGCGGCCATATTTGCAAAACGACATTGGTAAAAACCTTAATTAATTAAATATTTTCAACTATATATGTAAATAAAATTGTGTTTATTTTAAAATGTCGACATTAGTTATATTAGAAGTCGGTCAAAGGTCACATAATATTAGAGACTGCCTCCTCCTATACCAATTTTGTTTTAATGAAAATTCCTTTAATTTTCTTTCTTTCAATATTAATTTAATTATTAAAATTTATTAATTTTTTTAATAAATTTTAAATCTTAATTTATACATAAATTTCTATATTTTCTTTTATTATCAGTGTTTTAATAAATAATAAAATTGTTAAACCAAAAATACATACATATATTTGTAGTGCAAAGCCAATTAATTAATTATATTCACTAAATTTCTAAATAAATTTAAAAATTTTCTGTAAAAACCAAAAAAAAAAGGAACAAAAGAAAGAATCAGCAGAATGGCAGAAATGGCGGTTTTATCAAACGGACAGCAAACATTTGTTTTTGTTTTTGCATTGCTACGAGTATTTTAATGATTTGCGCTTTCTAACAACTTATATAATTCCTACCTTCATATATACAATAAGTAGACTGGCAAGAGACTTTTTGAACATTTCTTACTTCTTTATTAAAATAGTAAAATTTCTGAATTTACTAAATTGTATGCACTTAAAATTACTTTTAAATATAAAAAAAATAGTATAGAATTTTAACCAAAAAAAATATTTTATTTTAACGTTTTCTTTTTCATTTTTCACAAAAAAAAAACCCAATATATACATATTTTTTTTAATTCTTGTAAAATAAATTAAAAAATAAAATAAAAATTCAAGAACTAAATTTAAAAATTTTATGCTTACCTTCCAAGTTTTTCATCACTGCTCGAAGGATCGAAATCAAATAATTGAAACTCTAGCAATTGTCCACTATTAACAGATATGATCGCCTATTTTGTTTTTGTTTTTTTATTTGATTTTGTTTTTTGTTTCATACGACATTTCAATTAAATAATATTAAACATAATAATTATAATAAAATCAAATCAAAGTAAAAATAATTACGAATAAAAGAGAGTGAGATAAAATTAAAAACAAAAACTAAAATTATAAAAAATGCATAGAATTCTCAAGAGAAAATATTAATTATGTAATTATTTTTATTTTTTTTTTTTTATTTTCTTATTTTTATAGTGAAATATGTAATTGTAAAATTCATTAATGATTTTAGTTTCTTGCAAATACCAAATATGATCTCTTGAGTTCCATATTTTGCAGTAACACTACAGTTTTTAAATCTGATTCGGTTTAGAATTAATTAGCTAAAACTCAGCTAAATGATTTGTTTTCTGAATAAAATTTAAATATTTGTGAATTACTGCATTGTGGAGCTCAACGTTAATTTTTAATATTGTGATGTATGGTATATTACGTAAAATTGCTATTAAATACACTATAAAATGAAATATGTAAATATTTTGCAATACATACAATAAAATTAATGTCAAATTTATGTTAAATAATTTCAAGAAAATTAAAGTTGTTATTATTATTGATTAACTTCAATAACGAAATAAATCCATGTACGTATGTATGTATCGACTTATTGCGCTAATACATTGAAGTCAAACAAATGGTTGTAAAGTAACACTTTTCCCTTTGACAAGTAAAAACACTCAACTATATTATTATTTAAATTATGATTTTCATTCATACACAGAAATATTTCAAATGATTGCATACATTTAGGAGGACTCAAAAAAAATTTAAAGAACCGTTAATATAAGGTTTGAATTCAAGGGTTAATTTCGTGAGTTGAAATACATAATTACATTTTTGATTGGCTATGACATTTACCGTTTCTACATTTAGAAAAATTTGTAAGTGTAGAAAAAAATTTTTCCCTAACAAATTAATTTGAACGGCCGGCCATCCAACGAAACTAATAAGCACTTTTCTTTCAAAATTTTTGCTAAAACCAAAATAAAAGTTTTTTTTATGACATACTTTTGATATTGAGAACATTTCCCTGATTGAGAGGGTTACACTTAAATTCATAAATTTACACTTAGTATAAACACTCATTGCTTTACATAAAAAAATTAAGAAAAAGAGCTGAAACAGCTATAACTAGGCTTATAGCTGAACTAAAATTGAATTTAATAATTATAATATAATATTAAAGCTATTTTATTTTTTATAATTGAGAAGATCGGCACTGAAATTTATTTGGTCCTAACAATCTGCATGTGTCAAATCTTTCAAATGCACATGTGCTTAATTATATAACCATTGTATGTGGAGGCAAAATACAAATTATAGAGCAATTGATAAAAAATATAATATTAGTGTATTTAATAGCATTTTTAAAGAAATTGAAACATTTCGAAGTTCGGAAGGGATTTTCTGTTGTTATTTTATTAAATATGATTATTAAATGAGTAAATATTTATGTGAGTAAAAACAAAACCTTAAAAATTTGAATTAAAAATAAAATTGAAAATTTTTATAAAATTAAAATTTCTAGTTTTTAGTTAGAAAAAAATCAATTCTTGCCGCTGAATAATTTAGAAAGCTATACTTTTAATTATTAGAAAAAGTTTTTAAAAAAATGTAATTAAAAGAAACAAAAAGTCTTAAGCCATTCCATATTAAAAATTAATTGAACATACTGAGAAGAAATATTACGAACTTACCAAAAAAAAAAATTACATATGGTTTTTGAATACACATTAAAATACATTTTGTAACTGAGATTATAAAGGAACCATAAAAGTCCATTACGATTATACAAATTTTTGAATATGTTTTTAATTTTAATAAGCATAAATATATTGTTAGTATGCAATATTATGAAAAATTTTTTAATTTTAATTGAAGCAATAATTATTTGGTAGATAATTAATTTAAGCATTAAACAATTTCTCTTTCTCTTCTCTATTGAAATTCACTTATTTAAAAATTTTAAATCTAGTAAGTAACAATTGGACATATAAATGAAATCTATATACCTAATGAATATCTTTTCTTAGCTATAATCTATAAAACCTTAATTCTAAATTAATTTAATTTACTGAATAGAGTTTTATACAATTATTATCATTTTTATATAATCATTATATGTGTTTGTTGCTGTAAGTGATATTCAATTACAATTGACCGTATCAGTGAATTATAATAAATTAAAATATTAAATACAAATTGATTGTTTAAATTAAGATGAAAATATAATATACATATAGAGCTATAACATATCGCGAAATATAAATTATAATTGAGAAACAATTTATTTATAACAATTTATAGATTTCACAAATAAAAAATTTTTCAGTTATTCTCAGAAATAATCTCAGAATTTTAAAAACTTTTAGCTAAAGCTGATATTCTGATTTCGTTTGAGATGAATGTTAAGGTAAATTAGTGTTTAGCTTAGTTTTAACTTGAATTTAGAGTAATTTAATTTTTCTAATACAGTAAATTCTTTCAGATATACTAATACTGAGACAGAATTTTTAATAACATATTTTATACAACAAAATCAAAATTGCTTTTTCTTTTGGATTTTAAAAATTAATCTTAACCCTTTTAAAAATTTTATTTTATATGCAATTTCTTCAAAAGAATACCAGAATTCGTTTTGGTATATTAATAAGTCGGGAATAAAATAAAATTATGTGAAATCATGCTTAATATTTAAAATAAATTAAAATGTATGCAACACACAATTCACTTAATATTTGCTTTGAAATACTGAATTTGATACAAAATTTACTTGAAAAAAAAACTTTGTTTTTGTGAATTGCAATCTCAACAAAGAACATAAAATATATTCAAAGTATTATAACAAAATGCGTAAAATTAAAAACAGAATGTTCTAAAATAAATAATAATATAATTAGTACACTAATAATATTCTTAAGAATTCCACAATTTTGGTTTAATAAAACATGAATGCAAAAAATAATCTTAACTACCTATATACTTAAATACAAGTAATTCTTAACCCCCCCCCTCCCAACATAAAAAAAAGAAACATTGAACACACATTTATAAATTCTTATAAAAATTTTTTTTGATAAGAAAAGAAAAGTTCTTTTCAATAATTTTTTTTTGTTAAAATTAATTGTATTATTTATAATTCATACATATATAATGTTATTTATATAATATTAATAAAAATAAATTAATCATTACAATTAAATTTTTTGGTTTGTTTTCTTTTTTAATTACAATTATGAAAATATTAAAATGAAATGCGAAATGATTCAATTTATGTAAGTGATTAATAAAAAAACTCACCTCACACCAATAATCCCATTTTGGATTAACAGTATTATCAATTGTTTGTGTTCTGAATTCTTGTGCACCAACACTAATTAAACCATATGGATCTGATTTACCTTTACCCAAAACTGAAATATCTTTTTTCATTAAATCTTTTGCTTCAACAACATGTATACGTAAAACACCCTAAAAATATTAATAAAAATAGAATTTTTTAAAATCAACTCTTATAAAAAAAACGCAAAACATATTAACATACCTCAGGTTCTGGCATTTTTAATGTTTGTGCTGCTACTTCTTCACTTAATGTTATTGGTAATTTATTTGGTAATACCATAACAGCAGCAATTTGTTCAACAATAACACGACGTAATATATCACTTAAACCAGGCATATCTAATAAATCAATAACACCAACTAAATTAAAATCAATATTTGGATTATTTAAAAAGAATATTTGTAAACCACCAACTAATGGCATTGATCTTATTAAAGGTTTCATAACAACACGAACCATTCCATGTATTTGAAAATCTTTGATACCACCTTTCATACCACCCAAACGAAAATTAATATCACAGTCACCAGCATAAAATAAATCTAAATCCATTATAATTTCATTACGTCCAACATTTTTATCATAAATTTTTACACCACCAATTCTTGGTGGTATTGTACCCAATATAATACGATCAAATTGAAAACCATTCATTTTATAATTTCTTAATGCTTCAGCAACACTTGGTTCAATAACATCTTTAACTAATGTACGAGCATAGTGGTTGGCATTTGGCCAAACTTGTTTTAAAATCTGCAAAAAACAAACATAATAAATAAATGAATGTATGTATATGTATTTTATGAAATATTTTCATTGTGAATTAATTTAATTCTTTTTTTTTAATTTATATTTATATAAAAAAGTATAATATTAAAAATAGAATAACAAATTATGTACTTAGGTATATAGAAATATCAAACTTTCATACATAAAATTCTTTATCATGTCACTCATATAATACAATTTTATATTAAAAAATTTTTCTAATTAAGATTGCTTATTATTTATTTTTGTTTAAATAATATATATAGGGCATACCTTATTAACCCATTCACAACGTTCAACATCGGGAAAGTAGACCTGAAAATTATAAAAAATATATTAGTACTAGAAAAATTTCTCGAACGAATTCTATAGAGTATTAATTTTTCACTCTTACTCGCACTATTGAATAAACATTGCATTTCAAGTTTAATATGATTCAATTAAAAATATTAATCTATCAAATTGTCATTGTTTACAACTATAATATTGGAGCCAATTCATTTTTAGGCAGTGCAGTTACAAAATATTTAATGTTCAATCTAAATGTGCATAAATAAAATGATAGTATTTTTATGGCTTATTGCCACCTATGATTATGTTGGTTGAGAAGCCATCTATTTTCCGGTAATTTAAAAAAAAATGTAATTTCTTTATCGTGTATGTATATAGATAAAATATTTCATAATTTGATCCAAAATAGGAATTTTTGTACTAACATATTTTTAAATTTAAAAACGAAATACAATTCGCATATACATTCACATATACATTTCACATATTCATAACAAAACTTTTCAATTAATTAATTCAAAATATTCTTATTTTTCCCTCAGTGTTTTAATTGTCGATTTCACTTACCCAAGCTGGTAGTTCATCAATTCTAGCTAAAATAACTTCTTTCTCATTAGTCAGAGCCGATGCTTTTGCAATTGTACGTTTCTCATCAGCGGATTTTTTCCATTGATCTCTAGCAACTGAAAGAGCTACTGGTGCTACTAACCATGCAACAGACCTAAAACATAGAATTGAATATTAAAATTATAAAAAAAAGCATTTCTAATACAAATAAATTTCGGAATCACTTAGACCCATACGAATATTTTTTTTTGGGATAACCAATGATTGTTTCGTATATTTATATAGTTAAAATTTTACATTATTATCGAATAAATTGTTACTGAAATTTTTCAAATTACTTTCTTTTAACAAGAATACACTAAATGTAATAAAAATACTCTAATAAACTACTTTCTAACAATTTAATATACTACAATTAGAAAAAAAATGTTAATTCGAAAACAACATTTTCCGCCTGCAATCGTTTTCTTACTTGAAAACTGTTACTTTATTTACATTTTACATAAACTTTTAGTTTATTTATTAAATGGCTTTGATTTCGTAACATACTATCACAATATTATGACAGAATATTCATGCTGATATGAGCAGTAAGTATTATTTCAGGTGTAATAACTAGCAAGTCTATGTTCAGAGTATCATTATTTAATTCATTTTCTGATTTAGTTATAAAACTTGAACATCTTCCTTTCAACTATTCATATTGCAATGTAACTTGTTTTAGCACATAGGTACTTACATACGTAAGCAAATTTTATATAATTATTATATTTAAAATTATAATATTTTTTTACCATCCCATATATCCTAATAAATATACTGTTCCAACAATAGCAACTTTTTTCACAACCGTATATATTAATGAAAATATTCCTTCATCAGATGATCCTTCTGCTGATTTTACTAAATTTTCAGTAACATTATCAGAACTTATTTCTTTACTAGCTGCAGCCATATCCAGTAGTGGATCAGCGTTATCTTCAATATTTAAATCAGCTCCAATAACTTCTAAACTAGATGATATATCTGAAGAATATGTACCGGAATCTTTACTATCAAGACCACCGCTCTGATCAAATTCTTCGTTAGCACTGAAAATAAAAAGAAAAACAAATAAATTTTAGTGTTTGTTTTTTAGTGAGTAAGATCATTATTATAGAGAAAATAAAATCAAAAATGCAGAAAAAAACAAAATAAAATAATAAAGTAAATATTTATTTTTTATATTAGAACTTTTTTAAATTAAAGAAAAAAAAATTTCAATAATAAATAAAACGAAATTCTTTTATGAGAGATTTTTATGAAATACATAAATGCTCAAGTTTGACAGAGAAATATCATGTATTTATGCCAAATTAAAGAATTAAAAATTATAAGGTATTATAATTTTACCATTCCATTTGCAAAGCTAAGAAATAGATATCTGATATATAGGCATAAGAATATATAATTTATCAGACTCGAGTTCTGAATCGATTACACTATGTCTGTCCCTCTGCCCGTCTATCCCTCCCAGCGATAACTCAAAAACGCATTGATCTAGGGTGAACAAACTTTCACAAATTAGTTATGTGTCGTATGTAATGTTGGTACGAATAGGGTTCTTTTGTGGCACGTATACGAAAAATTTGTGTAATTTGAAAATTGAAGTATTTGATCCGAAATAAAGAATAAACAAAGGTAACTATAAATTTACATTTGAAATTTTACGGCAACCATAATTGTTCTTTACCTGGGAGACTATAAAAGGCCAATGTGATAATAGGGCCAATATTTCAACAAAAATTTATAATTGCGAAAGTTCTCCTAACAGTTAACCTTTCCAATTAAAAAGTATAATATGGTTGAATCACAAAAACGTTGCGTATACGCAGTACTGAGACTGTTAGCAATTAAATTTATTAACATATGTAGGTACGCCATTTGAAAAACATTGTTAATATAGCGAATCCTTTTGTCAACTGTCACCTTCTTGAAAAAACATTCAAATAGATATCACATACAGTTGAAACGGTCAACCCTATCTCTTCTAGTTTTTCTATAATTCAACAATATTTATAGCGGTTTATATTTATAATATAAGTTTATAACCTAAAACAATACATTAAAAAATTTATCTGAGAAAAAACGAACATAGAATTAATATAATTGAGTGATACACAAAACAACTATGCCATTGCGGTGTTCAAAAAACAAAAGCGCTTTTTATTTTTTCGCTTTTATCATGTCAGCAAAATTTATTTTATTGACAAATCACAATTAATTTTGTTTTCATTTCTCTTTAATGTTTTATTTTTTCTTTTTTTTTTAAATTTTATTTATAAGAATTTTGTGGAAGAAAAACTTCTTTTCAACCGCACTCTTATAGGATTTTACTCCCTTTTCCAGTAAGGATTTGTTTTCAAAGTGGTAAATTTTACAAGGAGCCCTCTATTTTTATTACTACATTACAATACATATCAACATAGATTTTAAAAGCAATAGTTAGTACAACGTAATAAAATTCTTTGATAAAATATAGACCATGATGTATGTTCAAGAATTCCAAGAAGGAAGCATTTCGACTTAAAAATATAATACACTTTATATTTTTGCTTGGAATCGAATTCTCAGTCAATACACTATATATTGACTGAGAATTCAATACTCACACGTTGTTGGACTATATTTACAGAATGGAAAGATTTTACAAAAATTATACGAAGGGTATAGATCGGTATAGTACGTGAACAATATTTTCTTTCTGGATATTTACCTGCCATATGTTATTACTACTAATTATTAGTTTACTAATTAAATCGTACTTACTAAAAACTACTAATAGTAGTTTTTAGTAAGTACGATTTAAATATTTAACCAAAATTAAGTTTTTTACTTGCTTCATTTAAATCAAACTATTAGTATCACTATCTTACGGCTTCTCTTTGATAAATTCACAAATACTAACTAATATTTTTTTCGAAGCCATTGTAACCACATCTATATTTTAAACACTGTAAATAACTATACAATTGTAAGGTTTTTCCTTTATGACATCGTTCAAACATATTTCGAGAGAAAAAAGTAATTTGTTAAGGAATCTATAATATAATATTCCTGCAGTAATATTATAATTTCAGTACCAACAGCTTTTTAATTTGAACACAATAATATTTGGTATAAACTTTTATTTGAATACATAATATATATATTTATGTATTTAATATGCATAATTTCCATATTGAACCTATTTTGCCTACTATATATTCACCATTTATTTAACAATAGTCCCATATGACAGAATATAAATTGATTTCTAATATTTAACCATACTTAAAAATATCACTGTAATAAATAATAAATATTCCTAAAATTCTGAATAATTCAAAAGTCAATAAACATATCTTATTTATTATCAGTACAAGTAAATATTGTACTTATTGCATTCTTATACATGTTTACATATAGTTTTCAAGTATACGTACTTATTATAGTTCAAGAGATATTGTTTAACTTTACACTTAATATAACAATTATAATCAAGTGTTATATTGAATATTTATTTGAAATAATATGGGCATTCATACACCACAAATCTCTATGTATATTTATATTTAGTCTCTATTTCAAATTATATGATTCAAATAATAAAGGAGTAAAAAAATAAGATGTGGTCAGCACACAGTCGTTTGAAGATTGTGAATGTCTTTTAAACCCTTATTTTAATTAACTCAATTCCAAGTAAGCTTCTGGTATCTGATGAAGATAAACCTCTATAATTTAGTATCCAAAAGACAAAGTTCTCCCAAATACAGTTTGATCTTCTGGTATTCGATTTTCCCGAAAAATTTGCCATTTAATTTGTTTGACAAACAGTGGAACATTAAATTCCTAAAAATTCCATTAATTATTTGCTTGCATATAATTTAAAATGTCAAATAAGCCGCTTCATTGAACAATTAATTTCCCGATCTCCGAGATTTCCGAATGAATTTGCTAGTAAAATACTTTCACAAAAACAAAATCACAGATATATAATCGGCTCGTAGTAAAGGTCTACTTTCCGGTACCTAACACATCCCTAAAATTGATCAATCTCCCGTAAACTTAATTCAAATTTAATTCAAATGTAAATTTTTATCAAAATGACTTCAAACTTTTACAAGAAAAATGATTTTCCGCTGGAGATTCGACATGCGAAATTTGGGCCAACACTATATCACCTTTGTTATATGCATTGCGGTCGATATTTGTAATAGCATTCACGTAATTATGAATATACACATATACTCATATGTACATACATATGTATGTGAAGATTTTTAAATTTTGTATTAAGTATAAATTTCTACAATAATTCAATTTATTTACAAGCATTATTTTTTATTCAATTACGAGTATAGCGAAACATTTTTGTATTGTAAAAAAATTCCCGAAAAGGGTAAGTAATTTAATTTTTCAACATAAGGGTAATTTACTTTTTCGCCATGTTATCATATTTATTATATAGTGTGTATATGAACTGAAACATAAATAGCTACATAGACAATAATTACGTACAACATTCCAAGGACATTCCAGATCCTTGTTTACTTATACAGCAGTAGTATAAAAAATTGTATAGTTAAACGTACTAGGATATTTTTTTAAATAGCTCTATTTGTAATGTATAAAAACGTAATATTATAAATGTATATAAATATAAGTATATATACTTTACCCTTACAACTAATGTGTGTAATGTGTCCAAAATAATTTGAACTTTATTACAATAGCTTGTATAGTAAATTGTAAATGTACGTGCGCACAGGTGATAAATTTGTACTTACACTACAACTTATATATCACCATAAACACAATATATTATTTCTGTTAAATTTATTTCTACTTAACTTGTAAAGAGTTTTATTCTCGCAATTACAATTGAAGTGAATACTTAAAGTTTTAATAAGATCTACATATACTTATATACATACTTATTTAATTTTGTATTAAAATATAAACCAATAAAATGTTCTATCAATATAGGAACTTGTAATCGTTTTAAAGAGTTATAAATAAAATATCATGTATTTATTAGGTATTTAAGGATGTTGGGTGTAAGTAAGAATTCGCAAGTAGTTGCAATCTGTTACAAAGTTAGTTAAAATTTTTAAGATCGAATTGGAGCTTTTAAAAAAAAAAACTATCGTGAAACGTAATGTGTTCGAATTTGAAGAATTTTTTAGTTTTATGAGGTTTAAATTTTTTTTTAATTTTAAAGATTTATTGAAATTTTGGGTATTTCGATTCGAAATGAAATGCTTTTGTATTACAGTGCACTGTATACAATATGCACAACTCAATAGACTCTGATGCCTGCGAGTTTTGACTTTTTTTTTAACTTTGATTACAGCTTCATAAGTTAAGTTAATATCAGGTTAATATTTCATATGATATAACATAGCAACTTCTTTTAGATAGTCGTCTTTCGTTCTTAAAGATAAGTTTCAAATGTTCAACCAATAAATAATTTTTTTTTACATTTACAGATATTACAAATATTTCAAGTTGGAGGAACGTATTAGTTGTTCTGACCATTACCAGATTTTCATTCCAAAAGATGTTCGATAAGCAAAATTTTGCAGATATAGCTGGTACGTTAAAAACGATGGAAGTTATATCGAACAATCTTGATGATCATTGAAAATATTCTTCGTCCTCCACTTCTGAACCATAAATTTAGAAATTTATTACAGAAATACATGCAAATTCAACTACACAACTTAGTATTCTTAAGAAATGAAAAAGAAGTACTGACGCGTTTAAATTCCTTTCTCAAAATTGAAAAAAATTTCATTACTATAATATCATTACAACGCCTAAACAAGAATAAAGTAAAGTTGGGTCAAACCAATGGTTTGTATTGTAGCACTTTTCCCTTCAACAAGTGAAAATACTGCTTTGAAATACAGTCTATGTATACCTATCACACTATTAAAATTATTTTCATTCATATTTAACTATTTCTAGGATTGCATATATTTAGGATGAACGATTTATGCAGTCTTTTAAATAAAGCGAAAATAATATAAAGAAGGGTTAACATAATGCTCGATTTTAAGGTTTAATT